GTGGGTGTGGGGTGTGCCTGTGAGTGTGCATGTGCGTGTGGGTGTGGCTGCGAAACACTTTCCCGCTACATCCCAACCTCCAACGGCATCCCACACTCTCACCCACACCCACCCACCCACACCCTACACCCCACACCCCACACACACACCCACACCCCACACACACACCCATACCCACACCCACACCCATACCCACACCCACACCCACACCCACACCCACCCTCGGGTACGTGTGTGGATGTGGGTGTTGCTAATGAAAAGTTTCAGGCTCACATCTACACCCCATAAATACCCATACCCACACCCTCCATGCACATTGATATGTTCATTATTGACTTGCTCAACTCTGTGAAAAAAATTACAGCTTAAATAATGCACTATATATAGGAAAACAAAGAAAACTTGAAAAACGTAAAACAAACCTTTTTCAGAAAGAAAAAGGTATCGCGATAGAATCATATTTTTTTAAATGGGCATGCTTTATCCAATTTTATTTCATCAAAAATTGAACTATAAGTTCTCAGAATAAAAAAAATTTAGTGTGACCTGTAAGAAAACCAATCAAGGAAAAGCATTTTATGGACAATCTCTTTACTTATCAAAACATATGACGAAGACAATAATATAACCTAGCGAAACTGGAATGTTTCTATAAAAAAGTCAATTAGTTCCTTACATAACGCATTCATTCATATAGTTGACAACATTTTGTTTTTGAGTAATAATGAACGACAAGGTATTCTTCTCTTATTATGTATTCATTTATGTCAAATTACGATTGTTCTATTCAATGATTATCTTCCTAATTTAAGAATATCATCGACACAGAAAACTGTTTAAAGGTTCCACGTTGATAATCACTAAAAGATACTGTCAGAACTATTATTTTTCTACGTATTAAAACACCAAATAAAGTTGTTGACGGTATTTGCATGATAACTGTATCTTTGCGTCGACATTGCGACTCATCAGACTAATAATAAATAAATCGTCCTCATCTATCAATTTGCTTTCTACTTTGTTAATGTACTTTTTTTTCTGTGGTATATGTCTGTCTTGCCATGCTCTGTCTTTCACTTCCTCGATACACTATTAATATCAGCTTGGCATTATATATTGCGACCAAAAGATAGAGAATGTAAAAGATCGCATTCGCTTTCTGCTTGCACCCTATCAACGTTCTCATTGATTTTCTGTTTCTATACACGTGGCTGTCGCATTGCTTCTTGAAACATTTCTAGCAATGTCTCGTCTTATATTTGTGGTTGCTTTGCTACTCTCAAATGCTGAAAGTAAACCAACAGCTAAATCGAAGAAAAGTATTGAAGACTTCCATTTGAATTTGTACAAGTCTGTAGTCTCCACAAAACCAGACGATAATGTATTTCTGTCACCTTACTCGATCAGTCTCGCTCTTACTATGGTTACTGGAGGTGCACGAGGCAAAACAGAAAAAGAACTTCTCAATCTTCTACAAGTTCCGTCTCGTGACAAATTGGATCCATTAGTTAAGCAACTAATGAGTATTAGCCGTCTACCTGAAATCAAATTGGCTAATCGGCTCTACCCAGATGACGATTTTCCGATTCTACCCACCTTTAAAAACCGATTGCAAAAGCTTTATAACAGTACACTAGTATCCGTTGATCTTAATGCAAAAGATGCTACGCCTGCTATCGATGAAATCAATACATGGGTGTCTAATCAAACCGGCGGTCATATCAAGAAGGCATTAGACAAAAATGATCTTGCTAGAAATAAATCAACCACAATGAATGCTCTTCTAATGATCAACTGTCTGTTATTTGATGGTATATTTTTCTTTTCCTCTTTTTTTCTCAAATATTTTCGTCGATTTTTTTTAGCAAAATGGCAAAGAGGATTTCAAGGACAAAACACCAGAGATGGCAATACATTCTATCCAGATATAGGTCCACCACAAGAGAAAAAACTTACCTTAATGATGCGAAATGGTTTGTTTCCTTACGTTGATTTAACATCGGAAATTGGTGCTCGAATGATTCATTTACCATTTGAAAATAACGATCTAATCTTTACTATTGTTCTACCAAATAAAGGTATTACATTATCTCAAGTTGAATCAAATCTCACTTCGGTATTACTCAATTCACCGACTACTACTAATCATAATGTATTTGTTTGGATACCAAAATGGAAATTTGAATTCGAAAGTAAACTAGAAAATGTATTAAAGACTAAAATGAATGTAAACGATATATTGGACGCTAACAAAGCCAATTTGAAAGGACTATCATTGAAGAAAAAGATCTACTTATCCAATTTGATTCACAAGTATGTTCATTTATCAAATTGAATATGATCAATATTTCGACTTATTCTAGAACTTATGTAATTGTTGATGAGAAAGGTGTACGAGCTGGTGAGTATCAGTTGTTATTTCTTGTTTTTCTTGGATAATTTATCTTCTCTATGAATAGTGGCTACGTCTATTGTACGAATCATGTTATCGACTAGTTCACGACCGGATATCCAATTTCTTTGTAATAAACCATTTCTCTATGCAATTCGATACAAACAGACAACATTGTTTATGGGACGATATGTCAAAGTGATTGACACGAGCAATATGCCACCAATCATCGATGGCGGACGTGGTTAACATGAGACTTCGGATGTAGATGTGCGTGCTAATCTATCATGTACCAACACCTTCAACAGCCACATCCTTCTATTTCTCTTTCTTTGTTTACTTCTTTCTCTTCTATAAGCTATAATATAAGCTCATCAGCATTCTCATTTTATTGTATACCTTAGTGTGTATCGTGATCAGCAGAAATAAAAACGAATAAATTTTGAAAGTATTAGTTTTTGTTTGATGATTCATTGAGAGTAGCAAAGCGGATTATTTCACCTTACACTTGTGAACCATCATCTTTCTTGTAAAACAACGCAATCGTATCAATGATTGTTTAAATTGATGGAAGACAATAAAAAATATTTTCAAAGTCAGAAAAAGAAGAACAGACATGTCCAAGACTAAGAATAATCAACTGATACTATTATAACTATTTACAAATAGAAGTTCATCATGCTATTCAGGTATAACAACTTGTTTGAAACAACATGATAAAAAAAATTTTACTGTAAAAGATATGTTCGATGCATTAACAACAAAAGCAGATGTCGGAAGAACACAATCATATTACCTATTCTATATTCTTTTATTTAGAAGTGGAATCAAAGCAAGTATATTTGAGCCGATCTTTATGGCGTAAACTTTTTAATAATAATTTTTATTAGTCCTACCATGAAATGTTCTCACTATATTTCTATACTTTATTTTTCTAAATGCACAACAGGTCTTCACAAGCAATGATCTATGTGCTGCAGCACTAGCTTTTTGAAAGAAACAGAAATCATATATCTAATATATATGTTATAGTCCAAATTAGAATGCAGACCGAGTCAGAATTCGTCTAGACGAAATTGGAATAATTTGTCAATGAATGAAAAAAGATGACTAGCCTCAATAACTATATTATTGAAAAAACTGAAAAAAATGATTGTTTTTTACATAAATTAATATGTCAATATGATGTTCTGGAGAATGCATTTGAAGTTGGACAGTTTGTGAATTTAAAAGACGCTTGTCCCAATGAATTGAAACAAATGGATGTTGATAATTTTAAAAACCATCACTCTTATTGAAGCCTTAAAGCCTGATTTTCGTGGTTCCACAACTGGACACATATGTAACTGTCGTGGTAAATGTGCAAATCGAACTTGTCCATGTAAAAAAGCAAATGTGTTCAGCTCTATCAAATGTCATTCAAAAAGAGGTTGATGTTCAAACATGGATTAACATAATTTTGGATTTATATAATATTTGTTTAAAAGATTTGTAACATAAAATGGTGGTTGGTACTTTAATTATGTCTTTCTTTACCTTTTTTTCATTCATTGACAAATTATTTCAATTTCGCCTAGTCCAAATTAGAATTCTAATTTTGTTTGAACGAATTCTGAATCGGCCTGAATTCTAATTTGGGCCATAACATACATATGCGTAAATGACAAAATTTGCACCCTAAGTTTTAGGCAAGTAATTAAAAAAAAGTTGATGAATAAGAAATATTGAAAATCGTTCTTGCATGAAATTACCTTTTTGCATTTCAGATGTATACTATTTTCACTAGATCTGCCATTAGAAATATCCGCATTGTTTTAGATGACTAATATCAACAATACTACTATGTTCGACAGTCTTCCACAATACCCTAATGTGACTGTCATGGACCACAGACAATTTTAAAAGATTCTTCACTCTAAAACTTTAGCAATAAGAAATCTCATTTTGTCTCTATTTCAGATATCTGAACTATGGAAAAAACTTTTTCATAAAGGCCATTGTAGCTCCGGTTTTGCTAAAGCCGGAATCTACCCGTTTGATCCATTTGCAGTTAGCCAGGATACAATTTTGTGCCACCTACGACAACGACGACGGCTTCAGCTACTACAAATTCTAAGGTATCAAGTTCAGGCGATTCTGCCGCCATCAATAGTTCTAGTCAGCGTCTTCATCGGTCTGCATCATGTGATCATTTGTCAAATATGTGTAAGTAGTATTTGTTAATAACTTTTTAAAGTTGCTACATGATATATCTGTTATATTAGCGTTTGATTTGATGGCAACAGTCTTATGTCATGAACCTAATAATTCTCTTTCGAATTCAATCTCAGCACTGTCAACATCACTTATTACAAGTTGGTATTGTTTTATTAGATTTTCGATTCATACCTAGCTCCAGATGAATGCACCATATATATACCTTCTTCAGGAATCTATTGAGAATATTATCAAGACAGAAAAAAATAAAATAGCTTAAAATAGAACATATTCTTTCATCACTGATATCGAAAATTACGAAGCTTTATTTTCGCTGTAATTTTAGATAACACAACGTGTAGTATAACCGATAATTCTAATATTAGCTACCACAAAGCAATATCGTCTACCTATAGTAAGTTTTCTACCTTATTTATATCTAGACATATCTTTATGTACAATTCTGGTACTTATTAAAATGAAGCTTCACTCAACAATACGGATAACATGAAAACTATTAATTCATCATCAGCATCAATTGATGAAAGCAGTGAGGATTAATTTAATTTTCTATTAATTTCACTTTGTTTTTGTTATCCTTCCAGATCAGTCGTCGCCTTACAGACCTATGTATACTGATTTCATAAATGTGCTTCTTCAATCTTCAAGTGATTGAGAAATAAGTTCTCGAACATTCAAGTGCATTTCAATTATTTTCCAGGGATTCAATTCTATCCACCAGCAATAACATCATCTTTAATACCATTGTCATTCATTTCTCCAACTTCTCCAAATATAGATTTTCTAAATAATTCTACATTAGCTGCACCATTGTCTGAATCTCAAAACAATTTGTTAGCAAACATTACTTCATCTGATTCTTTACAAAAGGCAATAGATGTATTAGCTAATGTTATTGAAAAGTATATGTCATCAACAGTTTCACAAACGTCACACACAAAGAAAAGAAAAATGATTGAACGTGAAAATGGTGAAAGTATTACTACCATGGATGTTCTGATGCGATTACAACAAAAACAACGGAAAAATGACAAGCCTTGCAAGACCAGGCTTACTGCATCTAATGGAACGAAGAAACGGTTAGTTATGTCAAGCTTTTCTTCAATATTATGTTTCTAGAGTCAAAACAAAAGTACTTAGTTAAAGATAAAAAATATTAATCAGCGAACAGACAGCTATTTAATTTCAATATAAAACTTTATATTAGTGTCAATAAAAGTTTTACCTTAAGAGTCTACAACAAAGTTTCTTTTCGAAATATGTTTTCCTACATATGTGACTTCTTTTTAGTTCGCGTAAGTTTCAAAATCCACAACAACTTCTCAATGACATTGATGATATGAATGAAAGTAACTCATTACAGTATCCAGCTGGTTCTGTTTCTACTGCAATAATGTGTCAAAATAATATGGCAGCACAATCAAATCCATACACCACATGCTGCTACCGATGCTATGCAATTGTTTATACGAATTTTACCTGTTGTGTAAAATGTAATCGATATTGTTGTAACCAATGTAAACAAACGTTTTTCACATCTAGCACGGTATTCTGTGAATACTGTATGATTCAAGAAGCTCTTACAAGTGCTCGAAAGTAAAACAGGATTTAGGTTAATTTATTTTTTCTTGATTGTTACATTCTATCCTACCAAAGAAATAATATCATGCTTATTTTATGCTTTTATTCACTGAAATGTGGTAACTTACTATATTTATTGTGTGTTCTAATAGTTTATGTTTTTTTTCTTATCAATTTGTTATATTTGTTGATGTACTTGCAAATAAGTTTGAAAAAAATGGAAATATTTTGAAAGATTAGCATTTTTTATTATTCATCCTTTGAGTATTAAAGATATAAATCTAGTGATAATTTTTGAAAATGTATAGATGTGTGTAACTCGATGAGAGGAATATTTTGATTGGTAAAAGTAATAGAAAATTATGTTTATTTCTCGCAAAAGTTGAGTTTGAAGGATTTCAATTAAATTGACTGAGTTTGCCAAATTACCCCCAATATTTATATTGATTGCCAAGATACCCCATGTGGGGTAATTTGGCACAAATTTGTTTTTAGTGGTCTTTTTTTAAATGATGCAGTTCACGTTGAGTAAGAAACTTAAAACAAAGATTAGCATACACTCGTAGAGAAATGTTTCCGCTATTCAGTGATATATTTTTTATCGAAAAAAAGATTTAAAATAGCTTTCAATAATAGTTTTTATTTATTGTACACAAAAATTGCTGAGATTGCCAAATTGCCCCGTTCCGTTGAATAGAGAAATGTTTTTTCAATATTTTTTTTGTTTCAAAAGTCTTTCTATCGTTTAAAATAAAAAAGTTATGAGCAATACACTAAAAAACTTTAATTTCTTGTGCCATTTTACTCCATCCTACTCTACATATACTTGTTTCAAAACATTTCTTTTTAATAATAGATAGCAGACGAATAGTTAGAAATTTTCTATCTTATGGGCGGATGGGTGTTTAGGCGCCAGAGGAATACCAACACCGACACCCATACTCTCAAGTCGAAAGTACTGGTAATCTACGGATTTTTATATAAAATTATTGACTGCTCTTGCACTTAGGTATTAATGAACTCACCGAAGAAGACAAATCTAGTGTGATTCTAATGTGATTCATAAATTTCAATAAGATTCTAAAAATATAGCACCTTAAAAACTTGATTCCATGGTTAGAATTCTGTCTGTATGAGTATGAAGGTAATTGGACGTACATCGTGCATAGTCTATTTCTTCATGTTATTGACAGTATTCTTATTTTATGTAACAACCTATTTAATCTTTTAACACATCTTGCGATATTTTCTCTGCATTGATGCACAAGTACTCGCAGATGATCAGGACAGTATGAAAAAAGAAAAAAACTAGTCAAACAAAAATGATCAGCTTGACGATGTTCTTTTTCTTACGAAAAAGTAATGATAAATCAATAGAAAAATGTTTTTTTCTTTTGGTTAGAAAACAGGAAATAGGTTGTAGCAAGCTAAGAATTAGACATCATTTTTAG